ACACACACACACACACACACACACACACACACACACACACACACACGAACACACACGCACACACACGCACGCCAGCACGCACGCACAAACGCTCTCAAGCTTTCATGTAAACCTATGACTTGGAGACCTGAACTGCCAAAATAGAGAGACCTCTTGGCAGGGGCTGGAGTTTCCGTGTAAACCAGCCGCCAGGCTTCCCGCTCCTGCGTTCCCGCTCTCCAATGTTCTCCCGCCTCTTGGCTTCCTCCCTGATACTTCTGAGGGGACTCAGCAACCGCACAGCGCAAAGGGCCCCCAATGCCAGAGTCTGGCTTTGGCGATTCAGAGATTGCTGAGCTGGCAACCACTTAGTAAATTCCTGTCCCTCCAAGGCACCCCTAGACTTTGCTGCCCAGGACTTAGACTTATTGATGAGTTACCTCCTGACTCCTTGGCACCTCAGCTCAGCGGGTTTCTCTTGGTAGCGCTAGCCACCACCATACCTCAGCTGAGGAGCTCAGGAATTTGATAGCCCTTTTGGTTCCTGCCCCTCATCCCTCTGCTTGAGATAGAGGCCTGTCTGGTCCTGCAGCTTCTTCTAGTTAATGATTGACAGTCCATTGTAGCTAATCATTTTAATTAGCTCTTAAAGTGGGGAGTAACAGTTAACCTTGGACTTCTCGATTTTGGCCTGGTGGAGCCTCAAATGGGAGGAGTTCTAAGGAGGTAAGAGCGGAAGTGAGGTCACCACCCCTGGCCTGAGCTACCACAGCTGGCTTCAACAGCTGGTGGGCACACCCATTAGGGACTCAACTCCTGTGTGCTGACCTTTGCTTGGCCTGAATGCCAGGATGGAGGGAGGTGAAGGGAACCTAGGTCCCCCTTGGGGAGACAGGGTGCTTTGGTCTTGAAAATGGCCAGGAAACTTACAAGCCAAGAAAGAATGTCAGTCAATTTCAGGATTTCCCCCATTATGAAGCACTTTCCTGACCCAGTACAGGAAACAAACAAACAAACAAACAAACAAACAACCTTAGGTGCTCAGGAGCTTTCTCTAGGTGTGTGACAATTATCAGCAGCAACCTGGAACTGAAAAGAGCTGCCTTGCACATATGGGTGTCTCTGTAGCTGCGTTCAAAGCCCATGATCTCTTGGAGTGTGTGTGTGGGGGGGGTGGGGACTATGAGGCAGACTCCACCATTGCCACTCTCACCCAGCCTCTCTCTATGAGCTGAAGGAGTGGCTTGTTTGCAACTATGCCTGGCATTCCTCCCTCCACTGTACTGTTTGCTGGCTACTCAGGAATTAGTGCCCACCCCTGGCCAAACTTGGGCTCCTCCCCAATCCAGCCTTCTTCACTTAGTGCTGAGTGATGGTTCAATAGCTTCAGCCTTCTCTCCTATTTATTATATTGGGACCTAAAAACAAGGTCCCTGTGACCTGTCATGAGCCTGATTGATAACATTCAAAATGTCTCTAATGCTGCAAAAATTTAAGGCCATGGTCCCAGAAAGGCCCAGTCATCCACTGGCTGAGAGTATGGCTTTTAAAGGGAACCCTTTACTCCTGGCCTTGGTTTTCACACCAGTACCTCTCCAACTTTCTGTCCCTAGTCACTACAGCTTGCCTGCCTGGATGGAAACCCCAGCTTTGTCATTTACTAGTTATGTGTCCCAGAGTCAGTTGTATGCTTTAGTTTCACTATGTGGCAAAAGAAACTTACCTTATAAAGACGGAGAGGAACAAATTCATTCATACATATAGGCTGCTTATTAAAACACTGTATGGTACAGGGCATACATGGAACTAGCATTGTGATATTGCCTAATACCTACCTTAAACTCAGATTCAATTCAGCAAACATTTTCTGGGAACTGGTCCTAGTACTGAGCTTGCCCCAGTGAAGTGTACATGGAAAAGATATGGCTATGCAAAAGACACCACTTGCCTTCCAGAATTGTATGTAGGCTGAAATGGGTGATGGGATGTAGGAAAAGTTCAGTGAGATTGGATAAGCTGTCTGTATAAATAATATAGTTTAAAGGTGAACTCAAGGAGTTGGAGTGATGGCTCAGCAGTTAAGAGCAATGGCTATTTTTGCAGAGGACCTGGGTTTGGTTCCTCACACCCACATGGTGGCTCACAACCATCTATAACTTAAACCCAGGGATTCTGACATCCTCTTCTGACTTCCTTGGGCACCAGGTATGCATGTGATGTGCTGACACACATTGCAGTCAAAACACTCACATACAAAACAAGTTTACAAAATAAAGAAATAAAAAAAAAATAAAGCTAGGATGGGGAGCTGGCTGCCCCAGATTGAAGGCTTCTCCTTTCGTGGAGACTGTAGTTCTGGTCTGAATGCTGTCTGTTGTTCTTCAAAACCTTTTCTTAAGGTTTTGGTGAAGGAGAGAGAAGGAAAGTGGGCTTATGCACAGGCTGAAAGTGGCAGGCATTTGGACTGTGATTTACTGGGTGTCTGGGGCAGGGTGGCATTACTTAGGGCTTTACTCTCAAATACCCCTGAATTTCTCTGAAGTGGCAGAGCTCACACCTTACATGCCTCCCCTACATCCCTGGGTCCCTTACTGAATTAGGAAAAGCCTTTAGGCAACCCTCACTCCTCTGTTCAGGACCTGATCCCAATGTGGCCTTGGTTATCACTCCTGGTTTTCTAAAGTTCAAAAAGGTTTCTGGCTAAACTGGCAATTTATTCCCTCTGTGGTTCTCAGACTGAAAACTAGTTCTGCAGGGGAGAAAAGAAACTCATGAAAGGTACCCAGAATCCCATGGATGCTTTCCGAGGGGTCAGGGGGTTTTCTCATCAACACCAACCTGCCTGCAAATCTCTGGCTGCTGAGCCTCCTGTGTCCTATAATAGCGGCTGTGCTGCTAATGCCCTGTAGCTCAGGCCCCAGCGCTAGTTGCCAAGAAACTGCTGGTCGGGGTGCTTATGAGGGTTCTGACCTCATAGGGGCTGCTGAGTTTCAATTCAGCAGACATTTATTAACACCTACTGTGTGCCCAACCTGTGCTATGAGCTGTGGAAGAACTGAGGGAAGGACGTGGTGGGGCAGAGATGACTAAGACACTGAAACAATCAGAGGAGAGGACAAGCAGCCAGGCCAAGGGCTGATCAGGTGCTAATTGTACTTCTTGGAGCAGAGGCCAGCACGGCCAGGACTCTGAGGTCAGCAGCAGCTAAAGGAGGGAGGAAAGGCTTTGTGAGGGATTCGAGTGAGAGCTAGACCTTGAAAGGGGGCGGGGGCAGTGAGGGGGAGATGTGGCTCGGCAGAAAAGGGAGAAAAGACGCCTTTCTCTCTATTCCCTGGCCGCGGACTGACCTTCGAAGCCTGGATGATTGTTTAGTAAATTCATGTCACATAAAAGAGCAGGTCAGCGAGTGTGGGTGGCTTCATGCAAACCTCGAATCTCCACTTCAGGACATACAAAATGGTTGGCCTAGACAGTGAGCACAGCCTGTATTGATAATACACAAAGGGTAGCCAGGCTTCCCTGCCACCCAGGCTGAGAGGATTTCATTATGGACAGCCCCGTCCAACACTGGCAAGCTATGAAAGGAGGGAGGAAGGGAAGTGGGGGAAGAGAGAGGTAGATGACATCAAAGCTTATATGTCACAATTGTTCACAGGAGTAGCTGCTGCTTAGGCCCAACCTTTTCCTGGGTTTTGAGACTTCTCTGGAACCCTGCATGTAGAGAGCAGAGATTTTCATCACTGGGAATTGAAGTCTAGAGAGTACAACATTTATGCCTGGACACTGAAAGTCCACCATGTGTTTGTTCTACTTTTGTGTCTTCCATGGCTGGA